AATGAAACACAGATAGACATTCCTCTGGTATTCCCTGCTTTCAGCCAAGATCCATCTAACATCAGCTACAATATCTCTAGTACCACGACCCCTTCTAAAACCAGCCTGGATATCATCTTAAAAAAATTATGCCTTTAAAAATTTTGCTATATGAAAGCTTGCAAAGTTAACTGGTTTCCCTGTTTTCTGTTTTATAACCTGGACTAATTTTTACAAAAGTAGCATATAATATCTTTCTCCCACAGACCAACTAGTAGGCTTGAAATACCAACCTTTCAATGAGTGGCTGAGTCCCTAATCATTATAATATAATTATATTATAATATTATTTTTATTTAATAGTATATAATTTAATATTTAAATTATAATTAATATTATATAACTTAATAATTATGAAATAACACATAATTATAATAACACTAGAGTTTAGTGAAAACCCACTACTCCCAAATTTCTGATGCAGAGGAAAACATGTGAAAACATGATAAATATTTATTGTTGTCTAGGCCATTGAGTTTTTATGTAATTTGCTACCAACTTGAGATAACTACAAAGTGTTTAATTTCCATAATAACCAACTCATGCATGTGAGGTATTGAAGAAGGTAAGGGAAAAATCCTTTTCTGTTCTTTATTTCAGAATTCAGATTTATTCTAAGGTTTATACTAATATTAAAACAGATTATAATATTAAATCAGATTAATACTCTCTAGAAAGGGAGTGGAAATTAATAGTTCAGTCTCTTACAAAACAAATCTGCTATAAGAAATCTCTACAGCCATGTTTTTAGGTTTCAACATCTCATGGCTACGAACTTACCTAGAGTCAAGTTAAGAAGAATCCCAAACCCCTGCATATACTTGAAAATGAGTGTTGTTTTTATGCTTTAAAATTCCATGAAAGGAGTACGTAAGTGCATGAACATTGTGTATTTTCTTAATGCCCTAATAAGTACATGAACATTGATATTTGTAAGTCTTGAACATACCATGGATTGCCAAGAAAGAAAAAAAAAGTCTGTCTTGGAGAGGGTGAAACCAAGTTTCTCTTTGGAGGGTAGGATTTTGAAGCTCCGTCTCACATGCATGTGGTCAGGATATCATGTTCAAAAGGGTGATAGATAGCACAGGAGAAGAAAAGCCCGGAAGAGATGGATTGATACAATAACTAGGGCAATGGGGATAGGTTTGTTGGAGTCAATGAGACTGGCTCAGGACAGAGCTAGCTTCTGTTATACGTCGGGTCACTATGAGTTATAGGCAACTTGATGGCACATAACAACAGCAACAACAAGTAAACTTTTATTTGTAAAGCATTATAGAAAAGAACAAGTTAATAGGAATAAAAGTTATATTATTAATTTCTTATACTCATTTTTTTTAATTATTCAAATGTTGCTATTTCTGATTGTTTCTATTCTTTACTATTCTTTTTCTCTCAAGTGACTGTCTTCTCACTAAATGATTAATTCTCTGACTACCCTTCCCAACCAAAATGACCTCTTCTGCATTCTCTTGATTTATTCCTATTGTTCATAGCCCAAAAAGACAATGTTCTACCTCTCTGGTGAGTTGTAGCTAGGAACTTAAAAGTTTGTGAGTAACCATCACGGTACAGCTATTGTTCTCTCCCTGGTAGGAGCAAAGAAAAGTGATGAAAAACATAGACTGTTAATCCAAAGGACTAACAGAATGTGTGAACTTCAGTTCCCATGAGCCTCAGATCAGAAAAACTAGATGGTGCCTGGCTAAAATGACTGACTACACTGAAAGGAATCAAAACAGAAAGTCCTTGATACAATTGGAGAAAAATGTGAAACAAAACTTAAAATAATAATAATTAAAAAAAGGAACAGGCTTACGGACTTTATAGAGACTTGGCAGAACTCTAAGATTACTGCCCTTATTTACCCTTCAATCTTGGAACTAAAAATCATTCTCATGATTCAATTTCTAGCTAAATAATAGACTATAAGGTGATCTGTGACACTAGAGAGTTGCTCATAAAAAAATAAACTCTACGGAAATAAAATCCTCT